TATTGAAGAAAAAATGTATCATAAAATAGTTAAATAGAAGGAAAAAATGAAGAAAAAATATGAAATAATAAGATTAATTAATTAATTAAAAATAAAAGTAAAAAATTTGAAAATAAAAGGATGAGCTAAATAAATTAACAAAAAAAGAACAAAAAAAAGCAAGCACAATAAAAACAAAAAGAAAAAAGAGCTTTCTTGTTTTTAATTAGTTTTTATAATTCAAAATATCACAATCCAAAACAAATAAACTGTTTTTACAAAATTATAAGTGTCAAATTTGAGAGATTAATGCAATTTGCTAAACCAGAACCTAAGCCTGATGCACCCATTGCACCAATTTAATTATCACTTTTTAAATATTGAAGAAAAAATATATCATAAAATAGTTAATTAGAAGGAAAAAATGAAGAAAAAAGATGAAATAATAAGATTAATTAATTAATTAAAAATAAAAGTAAAAAATTTGGAAATAAAAGGATCAGCTAAATAAATTAACAAAGAAAGAACAAAAAAAAGCAAGCACAATAAAAACAAAAAGATAAAAAAGATTTATTGTTTTTAATTAGTTTTTATAATACAATCCAAAACAAAGAAACTGTTTTTACTAAAGTTTAAGTGTCAAATTTGAGAGATTAATGCAATTTGCTAAACCACAACCTAAGCCTGATGCACCTACGTCACCAATTTAATTCTTACTTTTAAAATATTGAAGAAAAAATATATCATAAAATAGTTAATTAGAAGGAAAAAATGAAGAAATAATATGAAATAATATGATTAATTAATTAATAATAAAAGTAAAAAATTTGAAAATAAAAGGATGAGCTAAATAAATTAACATAGAAAGAACAAAAAAAAGCAAGCACAATAAAAACAAAAAGAAAAATGAGCTTTCTTGTTTTTAATTAGTTTTTATAATTCAAAATATCACAATCCAAAACAAAGAAACTGTTTTTACTAAAGGTCAACTGTCAAATTTGAGAGATTAATGCAATTTGCTAAACCAGAACCTAAGCCTGATCCACCTAGGTCACCAATCTAATTCTTACTTTTTAAATATTGAAGAAAAAATATATCATAAAATAGTTAATTAGAAGGAAAAAATGAAGAAAAAATATGAAATAATATGATTAATTAATTAATAATAAAAGTAAAAAATTTGAAAATAAAAGGATGAGCTAAATAAATTAACATAGAAAGAACAAAAAAAAGCAAGCACAATAAAAACAAAAAGAAAAATGAGCTTTCTTGTTTTTAATTAGTTTTTATAATTCAAAATATCACAATCCAAAACAAAGAAACTGTTTTTACTAAAGGTCAACTGTCAAATTTGAGAGATTAATGCAATTTGCTAAACCAGAACC